CATGCAAAACAGGGCCATCGCCTAACAATAGGCTTGATTAGCTCTATTGTTCATAGAGGGTCATGTGCCCCATCACCTGACCTGTGTCGTGTTACGTGAATGTAGTGAATGCAAGCGGGGTTTTTTAACATCCCCTTGTTTTGGTTTTTTTTTCCCTCTTTGTGTTGGTATCATTGGGGTCCTGATTCACACTTTTTGCTCACAGTGTGCTGAGTGATACTTGCAATGACAGCATTGTAGGAGGAGGACAACTGGGCACGAAGGCCTCCACCTCTGTTTAATGGTGGACGGTTTTTCTTCACAAAGATGGCTTCCTTTACTCCTCTCTCAAACCAGCGTTCCTCTCTATCAAGGATGAGAACATCTTCATCCCTGAAAGAGTGACCGCTGGCCTGTAGATGAGTGTAAACTGCAGAGTCCTGGCCTGTAGATGAGTGTAAACTGCAGAGTCCTGGCCTCTAGATGAGTGTAAACGGTCCTGACCCAACCCTGACCCAATAAGTCAGGTGATGGGGCACATGACCCTCTATGAACAATAGAGCTAATCAAGACTATTGTTAGGCGATGTACCTCTTTTGCATGTGACTAACCTATTTGTCCATGTGGAGGCGGAGCTTATAAGACTGAGTTCACCTGAAACTCATCAGACTGAAGAAGTCTCTTGGAGGAGAGACGAAACATTTCACTAAAGAAGAACCCATCTAGAGGACCTACCGGTACTTATTTTTTATTTTTGAACTTGTCAGAACACTTACCTTCTGGATCAAGTGGATGAACAAAGTTATTCTGAAAGTTTGTTTTCTTTGCTAAAAAAATTCTGTTCTATTTGCTTTGATACAGTTTAGTTTCATTGCGTGATTTTAGTAAATGACCAAAGCTGAAAAGCCACAGGAGAAGGACAAAGTGAAAAAATAAATAAATAAAAAGTAAAACAGCTTCATTGTTGTTTTAGTTTCCAGGACAAAGGGTGATAATGGTGTGAAACAGGCCGTTATGTCCATGTTTCACTAAAAACGCAGCAGAAAATCTCAGCTTTTATGAAAATGTGGATCAGGTGTGAGATTGAACCTCTGCCTTTCTCACCTTGTCTGGACGTCTTGAAGCTGAACGACTGGAAGCCCCCGGTGAGTGCAGACGAGTCAATGACATCAACACCGTACTCGCTTTGGCTTCGTCGATAAAGAGTGACGGCGATGATCAGCAGCACCACAGTCACCACTCCCACAGCTAGGCCCGAGTATAAGGCCACATCACTGGTCCTCTCCACTCCTGACAATGGAAAATTAGGAGCTTTGCTTAGATTTTATAAAAAAAAATTTGTGCACTATGTCAGAGGTTCTTAAGCTTTTTGACCTCGGGGCCCAATTTGTTGAACATAAAGTGGCACGAGGCCCAGTCAGATATTACCAATGTATGGATCAAAATGATAATTATTATAAATCTTGGTTTAATTTTTATTGTATTTATATC